CTCTGGATAACATATCCCCTATGGCTGGCCTGTCCATGCATGTCCAGGCTGCTACAGAGGGTGGAACATCACAGTCCCTGTCTTTCCCTTAGCCTAGATGAACTACATCTACATAGGTATGCCAGGCTCACTGTGCATGCACAAAATAGTTGTACATTAGGCAAAGCACACCTGGCAGCCCAAACAAGTGGGACAGGTCTATCAGAGGCTACAGATGTCCCACAGGATTCTGCCACTGTCTGCAGAAAAATGAGACAATTTCTTTTGTCCTCTAGCATTTAAACTATTTTCTTCTATTATATTGCCAGATGTCTTAGCCAGAGGGATGATGAACCATAGATGGAATTGTAACTTTGTTTAAAGAGGTTAAAAAAGATAAATAGAAAAAAGATAAATAGAAAAAATTATGACTAATTTAACGACAGCACTTCCAAACCCACAAGAAAAAAAAAAAATTATAATGAATACATTAATGCAGATCTTAGCAATAAACCAGCAAGAACAAGATGATGAACTTCCTGTATGTCAGAAACACTGAAATTCTCTGTTCCTTTGTCTTTCTACCATAAGTTCTCTTTATATCACTGAAATAACACTCTTAGGGAGTTTACTTATTCACATAAAATGGGGAAAATTCTAATTTATGACAGATAAAAGCCAAGTCACTTTTAAATAATCCACATTTAGACTTCAAAGCTGTATCTACAGTTAGCCATTTGAAACGTATGTTAGAAAGACAAGAAAAGAATATGCAAATGCTGGATTACATTTAATAAAGAATTTAAAAGGTGAGAAGTCAGAATTCAGTTTTTTAAGAATTGTCCAATGACCCACAAGTGAATAACACTGACAAAAGAAACAGTCTCTCATGGAAAAAAGTGCTTTTTCTCTATATATGTATGTAGTTTATTTGTTTAAATGGAGCTGAACAAATAAATATGTTAAAGTAAGGAGAGTCTTATTAAATTGAGTGGCTAATACAAAAAAAATACATGAAGCGTAACATGCAGCCCAATTTTGTTCAGGCTTCTTCCAGACTGAGAGTTATAGGAATTGTTGTAGAACAAGCTCAGTTTTACTATCATTTTCTAAAATGCTGGCTCTGATAAGGTAAGTTATATTTTACTATATGTACTAGCAGAACTAAGTTAAAACTTGAAAGTGAGCCTAAAATTTCAGAGGACTTCAGTTAACACATTAACCTACTTAGTCTTCTACCACATCTCATTGTTACTCCCACATGCTGTTAGTATACTTTACAGAGGCATATATCTTTAACTTGAAACTGTATTACTTTCTCTACATCTTCATCAATCAGCAATTCATGTGTTAAAAACTTATTAAGATTTGTCTGGACAGTCTGGAAAAAAATTATCAAGTGATTCAAACTCTGAACTAAATTCTGTTAGTTTCTTATCTGCATATATGTAACTTTTCAACAAATCCTCTTTTTCAGAGTCTCACCCTGTGATAATTTGAAAACAAGATGTGTTTTTGCAAAATGCTAGATCACAGGTACAGGCCATAGCGAAGGTGCACAGATAGCATAGTGCACAGATCCCTGAATTACTGTTAAGTGAGCTGTCTTCAGGACTGGAAGCAGCAGAGGTGGGTGGCACTGAACTTAATACTGCTTCTGAGATCTGAGCTAGTATCTCTCCAGAGTGCTGCACTGTGCCAGGGAGATACGCCATTTCAGTTAAAATAGGCTTCAGCTTTAGTAATAGCACACTGAATTGAATAGTTGAGACATATCCAAAGAGAGTTTTTAGACAGATTTTAGAGAGCAATGGGATCTCATAACGGACAAGTGGTAGGGTCACAACAAACTGCAGGTTTCTCACTTCAAAATTCACCATAATTAACTGAAGAAAGGATAAATTTCCAAAAAAGTGAGTGAAAGGTGGGATGAAAAGAGAAATTCCCAGTCAGATTTTGTGTGGACATGTTTTTAATATAAGAAGGGGAGAACTGGGACTAAGTTAAGAGATAACCAGAAGGAAAAGGACAAATTTTGAGTGCACTCTGAGGAATCCCATGACCCAGACCACTCAGGATTCACACTTTGTGTATGAGATTGTTCCCGTCTCACACTTCCCAGCTGTGGTACTTTCACCCCATGAGCTGGCAGTGCAGCATCACAGCCTCCTCCCTCTTCAGTGACCCCACGTAGTAGTGTTGCTGACAGAATCTCCCACTAAGCTGGTTTTGGTACATGAGCATCTGGAACAGGAGAGGTGAGAGGCCACTGTGCTGTGCTAAACCTCATATTCATACAAACGTCTCCAGAGCTTGTCATGAGATGAAGCATGTATATACACTGCCATCGTGAGCTGGCACATAGTCTTAGGTACCTGGCGAAAGAAAATAGGAGGCAGAAGACCCCCACCTCTGCCTCCAAACCTGGCTCATCAGGTTTCTCTTTTTCCACTCTCTGCCATTGCCTGCCCTCACCAGACTGGTGGGAGGAAGGAATCTTTGGTTCCCTGAGTTGCTGCTTACACAGATCACAGTGAGTAGTTAGCACCAGGTTTCACCTCACTGCGGGGAAACTGTTCTATGCACAACCCTCCAGGAAAGATAAGTAAGGCTGTAAATGAAAATAACAATACGAGTTGAAAGGCCAGACTTCCCTGGCAGTTTCATCCAAGCTACCAAAGTCTGCCTAGTGCAAAACTACCTGCTGAAGAGTTTCCCATTCCGTCGTTCACTGGCACCTTCAATGCTGGACACACTAGCCATAAGAAAAGGGGAAAGAAGTGACAGCTGTTTTGTAAATTTATATGATCCTGGTTTTAGATCTGCTGAAAATCTGTTTATTTTGCTAGAAAAGTGCAAAGAGCCCCTGGCAGACAACCGAAAATTAATTATTTTGTATGCATTGTGTAACACTATTCATTAGTTTTACATGAGTGGTGAGAGGTCAGTCAAGAATAAAATCCCATTGTGTTAACCTTCAAAAAGCTTGCCATGTAATTGAATGCAGCAGGCACGGAATTAAATATGCAGTCAGAATTAACACTAATGGTTTGCAAACATCACATTGCAAACATCTACAACTCCTTTGTCTAAATTCTTGGGTTAAGATCTTGGGGGGAGGTGATTAGGTAAGCAACAAAAACAAAGAAAGAGAAGAATACTGAAGCAATGTGCATAAAACACATGGAGAAAGCAGAAGCATAATGGGATCTGAATGCTATAGTGCATCCAGCCTTTCATGTATTAGCGCACAGATTTACAACACACATTAAGCACTATCCTACATGCGCCTTTCTGCTGCTGTTTTGTGCACATGAAGTACGCCACATGTAGGGCCACATGAGAGACATTTTAGCAAACATGGTATAGTTCTGACCATATATATTGCACAGCTAGCTTTTGTTCTGCAGAACGATGAGAATACTGGGAGTCAGTAAATGATATAATATAAATTTGAAAATAGCTCCCCAGAATCTTCTGAATTCATTCAGAGTTAACTAGCAGGAGAACATCACCATTCAGTGTTCTGGATCCATCTGTTGGCAATATCATGATGGAAACAGCTTTTAAAATGCTATTTTCAATAAGCTATCACACAACAGCTTGTTCCAACAATATTCCAATACCTTTCTGTTTGCTTGCCGCCTACTATAAAAAACAGCTTAGAGGGAAGGAGGCATTTCAGTATTATACTGAAGTAGGGTGGGAGGGACAGAGAGACTACAGGAACAAGCTAAACAAGAAAGAACTATAAAAAGAGAAAAGGAGAAGAAGCTGTTATTTTAGACTCCCTGCAATCTAGATTTGAAACAGGATGTGGAACCTAAACTGCTGTAGTGTCACAGAGGGATGGGCTGCACTAGTCAGCTGTTAGAATTATTGTGCATTGACAGTGTCAGCCACAGGAAACCAAGAGAGAAATGGCAGGAGCACCTAGTAGTTACCTTCAGTTCTGCAAGACTTTCTGAACTGTGTGCTCCAACGAGTATTGAAAGGAAGATCCACCTCCATCACTGTAACACGCTCACTTGTGCAGCACCAGAACAATCTGCCCTATATAATTCTCACCAAAATATCATGTATCCAAAAGCTTACTTCTCAAGTAACACAAATGCCAGCAACATACTGATGATACAAAGCCTGCATCCACTAGCATCACAGTGGCTCAGTTGCAGAGATCAGCTCAGCAATGAAGAAGAGATGGCTGCATTTGAACCCAATAACTGGTAGAAGAGGAACACAAGTTCTTTTGCGTCACACCAAAAAAGTTTCACAATTAGTTAATTCAGTGTGTAGTTGTCACTGCTAGCTTTGACACACCTAATGTCACACCTGTTTAAGCAGGGAACTAGATAATCCTCTGAGGTTTCTTCTGATCTATGGTATCCTATGATCCTGTGATTCTAAAACAAACTCCTCTATACTACTGAATCAAGTTCTAAGATTTATTGATTTTAAAGATTTTATTTTAAAAGGCTGTACTCCTTAAAGAATTACAAGAAGCATTCAAGTCTTCCATGTATTAAGCATCTTGTTTACCAAACACTATTAGAAATACATATCTTTAGGAAGGATGCAAGTCAATAAGCAATACTATTACAAGAAGGTAAACTAAAGAAGGTACGAAACATTATGGGACCATGTAAAAGGAGATACAGAACAAGGAAAGAAAACCTGAAAAAGTAACAGAGAATTAATAATGATAAAAACAGAACATAAACTTGGAAGAAAACTAATAGTACACACAAATACAAAATATTACATAAAGACTTCATCATTAATACTATAAGAAAAATGTACTGATATCTCTCTGTATACTGTTGTGCTCATTCATCAAATATCCTATCTTCTCCTGCTATCAAGATTGCTTCCTAAGTACAAAAAATATTGTGTTCTATTTACCTGTCTTTGACCTATTCATATGTGTATAGTGACAACATCCTCTTAAAATACATACGTCATAGCCTGCTTTTAAAATGAAACATACAACTAATAAGAGGATGCTTATGGTGATCACCTACCTGAGGACGTATAACTTTCACTATGTTTTTAAGTGCAGTGTCTGGTGATGGAGGAGAGCAGTCAGGTGTTGGGCCTGTAGAGCTGTTTCTATGGTTACCAGATCCTGGTGCGGTAATTGCTACCTGAGGTGCATTATCTGTGAATAAAAATAGCATTTATGTGAACTTACAAATACTTCACACATTTTAAAATAAATTTTTTTTCTGAAAACAAAACGCAACTCAGAACACTATTTCAACTTACAATACCTATTATAATTTAAATGTATTTGGTAAGGAATATATTGCATATCTACACTTATTTTATCAGCTTATACATTCATTGACTGTGGGGGCAGGATATAGCACTGTCTTAATACCTAAATAAAATAAGGCACAAAACAAACACAAATAATTTACTTTCATTACCCTGAATTACCAGTTGTGAATCCAAGTACTATTACTGTAACAGAGGTGACTTAAAAGGGACCTTTCTAATGCAGCTTATATCTCGTCCTGGAAAATCTTAACTCATACAACCCAGTTCAACAAGTTATATAAACACATACTCAAGCTAGAGCATGCTGATAGCCATCAGTGACAACTTTCCTAGACACTGTGAGCAACATAGCAGATCAGTGACAATTTATTGCACAAAAATGTACTCAGATCCTCTGATGAAATTTCCACCCTCCATAGAGCTGTACACAGCAGTAGCTACCTTTCTAGCAGTCTGCTAGCTAGATAACCTACAGCTGGCTTAAAAATGTCTACGTACCTGCAGGTACATGGGAAACTGCTGTTCAGACATATTTGGTGATGCTGTTACCATTTTATGGCACCGTGAAGGATCATTAAAGAGACTTAAAGTATCATTCTTAACTTCTTTAAATGTTCTTAACGCTGTTTGAACAACATAAAGTCAAGTCAGGTCAGAGGATAGACAGGACTATGAAATAAGGCATAGCTTCCCAGCTGTGATGATAACTAAGCACCAGAATGACTTAGCAGGAGCCCAAAAGCTCCACATTACTTCCTGCCTTTAGAATGGTATTATTAAAGAAATGCTTTAGTTCACATTATGGGGAAAATGCTGTTGCCTGTGCATGGTCATGGTGGTCTTTATGGTGCCTGTGAATTTATAGAGTACGTTCCTTTTTGGGTCACAAAGACATGTGCTCCATGTCACTAAATGTGCTGTAACACCTGCAGCTCTGCATTAAGACAATGATTACATTCAAATCTCATGTCTGTGGGCCTCACCTGACAGCCTGCAGAGTCACAGAAGAAAGATTATTTATTTGTATTTGAGTTGGGTCTCCAATATTAACTTTGTGGGCAAACCCACTCCAAAAAAACCCCAAACTCTGAACAAATAAAAGCAGCTCCTGTGCTGTAAGCCTAACCAACTTCTGCAGGAACACACATAATCTCCTCCATCTGTACAAGTCACAAATGCCTCCGGGAAAGCAATGACAGAATCTTCTCCCTCTCAATCCTACTGACCTGAAAGAATCCTTGGAAGTATAAGAGATTTCCGAGGGAAGGAAATGCCCAGTTACATTAACCTAGCTAATAAAGGATAAAGAAGAACAGTTGCAAGAATATAAACTTCACAGCCTTTCCTACTTAAAGATACTTTCACAGCATGCATGATTCTAAGAAATACTCCCCGTAGAAACACCGCATATCGGAATGAGGTCTTAAAGATTCCAGTCAAATACAGAGTTACAAACTTCTTCTAAAGGAAGTATCAGGCTAGAATGTTTCAGCAATACCATTACAGTTAATGAAATTGTAAATGTAAGTTCAGGTGGCAGTCTGGAGACATCCTGTACATAACCTTGGGTGTCACCTGCGGTCTGATAGAGTGAACCCTCCCTGCCACAGACACAGACAATTCCAACTTCATTGAAACGCATCTGCATCAAAACTGCCACTCTTTAGGTATGCAGTCTTAAGACATAGAAGGTCTCTTCCTGAATCATTTCAAGTATGCAAAGAAACCTTGGATCTGAATTAATTTCATTCAGAAAGTAATACATATGTGTTAATATGATGAATCAAACAAATTTTCATACAGCCTTAGAAAGGAACTTAAGGACAATCCTCATAATACTGTCCCTAACACAGGAGAACTTTGATGGCATTCCAGAAAGCCTCAAGTCTCTCTTATGCTTTCCTGTCTGGGCTGGCATCTGACTGGAAAACTGTTTACATGCAGAATGTGAATGAGTATCCTGTGATTTGAAAGTCTAGCTCATTAAAGGAGGGACAGAGATTTGACAAGAAGACACCCCACCAACGCCTTGCCATAGCATTGGGAAATCTAGTGAGGATGAAGACTAAATATGAGTGTTAGGAGCATCTTAATTGTGAGCTGAAGTCTTGTCCTCTTTTGCTGCAGAACATGAAATATTTTCTTTCAGTCCTTGGACAGACTCATCAATAAATGATTATTAACGAAACTTTCTGACCGAGTTGGAGACTTGCTTTGAGAGAGGCCTGCACTGTGTATGGAGATACCAGACACTGATGCTAGGACACACGATAATACAGGCACCATCTAGGAAGCTAAGAAATAACTTCTAGAATGAGAATGTTCCACACGAGTCTAGTTAAGTGTGCTTAGTGCACTTATTTATTTACTGATGTAAGAAACAAACAGAACGATTGCCTCTGACAGCTAACCTATAAAGAACACAAACTCCCCCATAGGTCAGCAATGCCTGAGTTTCTGACACTGTTCTTTGGCTGTGAAGCCTGTGTGGCTGGGCTTCAGCACAGCTGCCCTTTAGCTGTTCAGCACATGAAAGCCTTGCAAGTGAAATCAGAAGTCTTGCAGATGCAGAAGTATCTCAAAGAAGCAGTGCTCAGTCAGAGAGCAGATAGAAATATAGATTGGTGCTGAAGGTAGTGAACGCAGTTCATTTCTGCCCACCATCTGTTTCAAGCCCTTGATGATAGTCACCTCAGCTTAGTTTACGTACACTGTAAATATTCGGAAGACGTTTATAGAGGGGTCAAGTTGTACGAGTAAGTTTTTGGTCTTTCCACAGGAAAGACCACACCTTCTTGTTGACCCTGTTCAATGACAGGTCACTGAAGACTCGACCCCTAGATACAGCCCCACCTGAGAAACCTCAAACTGACTGGAAGTGAAACTCTTGGAATGAAAATTTGTTGGAAGATACTGATGAGGAGAAGCAGGGCTGTTATATGCCCCACTAGACAGGGCTGAGAAAAACTTCTTCAGCTACAGCGTATGCATATAACTATAACAAATTCAGGAACATACATAATATCCAGCAATTTCCAAAATGAGTAGTTACACTCTTATAAAGCTTTGCAAAAAAAAAATAATCAAATCTTTTTCTTTGAAATAAACATCCCAGAAAAAATCCCACTGCTCAGTATTTCATGCCTTCACTCCTCCTTTCTCAAGGGAATGAGATGTCTGACATGTAATGGTTTCTTGTAAACAACTTCTTTATTGTGGACAGCTGTTTATTTTCACAGTAGGATCTTCCCATTAGGCAACCAATAATGATTTACTAGCTGGGTCTGCTCCATCAGAGAGAGAATATCACCATCACATCAGTTACTGCAACCAATTTGGGCAACTTCCCTGTTTATGTATACAGTACTCATAGTTTCATTAAGAATAGATTTGAACATATTTTCTTTTGCAATTGAATGATATAATAATTATGCTTTCATTTTCCTTTCCCTTTCTCTGGTAACAAAACTAAACCAAACTACACCCCCCCCCCCGCCTTTAGGTAAGCACAATGGTAATACTGTAAGTTTCAGAGGAACATTTCATTGCAAGAAGAACTTGGAAACTTGAGAACCTACCAAATTTACCTAGGAAAGAGTATCTCCCATGCTGAGTTTCTGATAGGTGCTGTAGATGTGGCCAACAGGCAAGCATTTATGGCTGTCATTCTCTTCTAGTCCCTGGCTCAACTTGCAATAAGCTAAGAGACGTTTCTGTACAAGTCAGATAAAATCAGGCTCCAGGGATCATCTGGTAGCTAAAAATTCCTGAACTGCAGCATGCACTAACAATATTCCTTCCTGCCTCCATCATACATGAGAAACTGTCACAAGGATTATGTAATTTGAGTTTATTCTGATTTTTTAAAATGGTTTCTGACAACTTTCCATCCTCCATTTCCATTGTTTCAGGGCAAAGGAAATAGTATAAGACAGGACAAAGAAAATATGCTAAGTTATGTTTTCTATGTCCAGAATAACCAAAATATTTTTTTTAAAAGGTTAGATAAACTCAGGTTTTGGATTAACTGTACTCATCTGGTGTGGACTATAAAAATAGCTGTGCTGATTCACATTCTGGCAAATCTTACTAGTTTGCTTTGTTGGTTGGTTGATTGATTGGCTCAGCATACAAGGCTTTAAAGGACAGAAGGTGTTACAATGCCATCATGATCACATTTACCACTTACGATCTCATGGACATAGGAAAAAAGCTGCTAAATCTTAAATTTCTCACAGGGTTAGACAGGTTTCCACACATTAATCTTGATTTCAAAGTCTTAATACCACTTCAAATTCTATTTGCTGTTTTTCCCAATTTTTGAAATATTTACAGTAGAAACAGACTCAGTATTTACAGCAATGATCACACTAGTGCTTCATACAACTTGCCTGTGTATATCAGTCTTTTCTTTATGCATCAAAAGACTGTAATTACAAATGATGACATTATTGCTTGGAAGTTGAAGGTCAGGTTGTTCTTACCACCATTTAAAAAAATCTTTTTATTCTCAAGCCACACTAGCACAATTTAAATTAGAGGTACACCCTTTGGTTATAGACAGGTGGCTTGATTTGGGTTACTCTAAAACCTATCAGTACTAATCAACTCTATCAAATCCAGAAATCAAGATTAGCTTTTTACTGGTCTATTCCAGTTCTTCCATATTTCACCAACAATTATTTTGTATATTCTCGCAGGAAAATGATAAAAAGAAATTGAATAGTATTGAATCAGAACTAATTCACATAATTGTTTTTTTAAAATTTATGAATTTAAGAGTTTTTAAGTCATTTCATATAGGAAATTATTATTTTTTACAGCATCTTTTTATGAGAACATCAAAGGAGGAAGGAAGCAGTGAGATAAATCACAAAA